GATTTGTTGAACAAATTTCCCAAGATTTCCCAAGATCAAAGAGTTTGTTTTTTTTAAAGGGGTTTTTCTGTGTAATTAATGTAATAACAGATTAAATTAATGACCCTGAAAACATGGTACATTAATGGACTGAAATTTATTGAAAAAGACATTTAAAAAAATGTTTATCATATAAAAGAAACAATTTAAAATAATTTATAATCCAAAATATCAATACCCACTGAAGTTAGGCTACTAAATATTACCTCCGAATTCTCTGGTAAAAATATCATCTACAATACATGTGTAATAGAAGTCACTTGGAAACAAAGCTTACAAGGCTAATCAACACAGAATTCCTTTTACAATGGCAAAGGGTTCTTCATCAAAAAATGATTTTTCTTATTGTAAGTCTGTCGATTAGAAGTGGGGTTTGCAAAGAATGAAGCAAAATTTATTAATAATAATTGTAGTTAAAATGGATTGATATTATTATGAAAACAATAAGTATTTTTTTTCTTGTAAATTTACATTATAACGATTTTTTCAACAAAAAAAATACCTTTAAAGATATTGTTCATTTATAATCCTACAACGTAGGCCTATACTTTTAATATCTTAGTTACCTGTGTTTCAATTCACAAATATTTTTCCAATTGATGAAAATTAGACTGGATTTTTTACAGATGCATTACATTTTGAACACATTGTATAAGTAATTGAAATAATCAAATTTTACTATGGCATCATGGATTCTTGATTGAAGACTATTGTTCACTCTTCGGTTTGTACTGTTTTTCGTATGGTTGCCTAATAGCCTAATGGTAAAGTTTCCGAGCCTACCCCCTCCCCATTTAATAAACATTCAAAACCTGTATGTAATTTGTAAATCTTCATTTTTTTAAAAAAAAAAGAAGAGAAAATTGAATTTTTCTTTAATTATTAACTTTTTAACAATTCACAATAATATTAACTTTAATATCAGAAGAGTCTTTATTTATTTGATGAGTGGATTTAAAAATTAAAACCAGAGAAGAAAATTAAAACAATTAATCTGTAGCCTTGTTACTTTAAAAATTATTTTGCTTTATTTTCACTATATTTTGTATCACATATTGTTGCGTTTTTTCAAAAAAATGTAATAAAATAGTTAAGATTTCCCAAGATTTTGCCTGATTATCAAAATTATTCCCCAGATCCCAAGGGGGGGTCGTGAATTCCCAAGATCTTGGGAAATTTCCCAAGGTGTGGTAGCCCTGAATCCAACAGGAAGTATCCGTCATAACCGTCACGTGACCAACCGAAATTATAAAGCCCTCACGTGACCAACCGGGTCCGAATAGTTAATTGCTGCTGTTGGTACCCGGGTACCTAGAGCAACTCCCTTAAAAAATACAAAAATTTAGACATAAGTCGTAGATTATGGGAAATAATCATTTCAACCAAATGAACTTGAATTATTGCTCTGTAACTTCGTGACGTATCTGGCATGCGCTCTAATTTGATTATTACATTACCCGTTTTATTGATATCTTTCAAATACAAATTAAAAATAAAACGCAAATATAAAACTATATTTTAAAACCAACAATCGCTGACAAACGCCTCTGAAAATGGTTATGTTTTGAATCTTTATCGAAAGTTGACAAACAACAAATTTTAAAAAAAAGTATTTATAACCATCCCAGGGTATCAAATGAAGCCAATATTGGATAGTCTCAATCATCATATCGCAAGGAACCCTGTCTTTCAATTCTACAATTTTACAACACTGCGTATGGCCATCAATCACGCATAAAATAGGATTGAAAAATAAAAATAGACCCACTAATTGAACTGCTACACATTTTAAAACCATTTGAAGCGAACAAATTATGTATAGCAGCCAAACTTCCAGTAAGAATTGTTTGTGCTTTTTTTCCTGGCACTGTTCTTATGTGAGAGGAGGTGGGTTAAAAACAATATTTTTTGTTAGAAAACAATATTAATATTTTTAACTACGTTGAGCTTCTTTCATTGGTTTAGAGTAAGTATGTATTTGCTAATCTTGTTAAACGACTAGAGAATTTGTAAAAAAAAAAAATAGTTTAGTTCAGCTGAAACTCTTCTTATGAAAAGTGTCACACTGTGAAAAAAAAAGGGGGGGGTGGGTTGGGGGGAAAGGGGGGGGGACTTGGTTGAGGTGTAGGAATTAGAACTATAAAAAACAGGAAGGGAAACCCTAAAGAAAGACGAAAAAAACAAAAACAAAAAACTGCAGACATTTCGCTTGAAGACTTTCATAAATAAATTATTGGCAAAAGATAATAAAAACATAACTTAGCCTAGTTTTGGGTAATACGAAATTATTCCAATCTAACAGGAAATGAAAAATCATTTCTCCATAAGAACTTTGGGCATATTTTATCTTTCTGCCACAAAGAAAAACACAAACAAAAGAAATTGAAGATAATGTTAAGGATTTAAAAAACAAAACAAAAAAACAGCCTTGACATCACACAACCGTTATCGCAATCGAATGAATGGTACAGGAGCCCTTACGGTACAGACATACATACACAAAGACATTTATAGATAGATATATATATATATTATATATATATTATATATATATTATATATATATATATATATATATTTATATATATCTTCTTCTTATATATATTAAGGGCCCATGATCAATTTATTGATAATTTTGTCTCCTCTGCACGAAGAGGGGATTTGCAATGTTTCTTTGACTGGTGTTGATGAGGATATTTCACTGATTGCAAGTGCCACTTTGTGAGGGAATCATGCACTGGGGATTTGAAGGTTTGAGGCAATAGATGCAAATGTGTCTAGTGTTGTCGCCTCAACTCTTCCTTTTGGAAGCTTGTTCCAGTCCCTGATTGTATTGGGCAGGAATGAGCAGCTCCTATACTGGCTTCTTGCTGGTATGAGCCTGAATTGCCTGTCATGGCCTCGTCGCTGTCTTTGGGGGAGAGAGACGAGTTTCTGTTTAATACCGGAACAGTGGACCAGCCCATTATTTATCTTGTACATCATGGAGAGCCTGGATAGTCGTCGTCGTTCCTCCAATAGTGACCAGCCTAGTGTTTCCAGCATGCTGCCAACACTAGCGGTATTCCTGTAGCGGTTTAGGACAAAGCGTCCTGACCGTCGCTGGACCGCTTCCAATCTGTCAATGCTCTTCTGGGTAAATGGGTCCCAGACTGAAGATGCATAATCTAAAACCGGACGAACAAAGGCTTTATAGGCTCTTTCTTTCACACAGATATATATATATAAATGTTCTTAGGAAATTATAAGTCTGTATTATTTAATGTGTATTTCCTTCTGTTCAATGTTTTTTTTTTAAATATTGAATTATGGCATGTAATACTTTCTTCATGTTAAAAAATGTATCTATTGTAGCTCTTTCTGGTGCAAGTCTGATTTTTTTTTTTTTTAATATATTGTAGCTTTTTTTGGTACAAGTCTTATTTATTTATGTTTTTAAAAATATTTATGAAGATATAATTTTTGTGTCTCTAGACAAATTCATTAATTGTTATTTTTTTAAAAATAGATGCATATCTTGTAAAGTAAAAGAATATATAGTAGAAAATAAACTAAGCTGAATTTGATCGAATGCCCCGTTTGTCAGGAGTTTCATCCATTTTGTGTGTTCCATCCTTTCGGCGCCCTAAGAGGATGCTGTAATATCAATTCCACTGGTGTTGTCTCTAGTGAGATTAAGAGACATAGGTGAATTATATTTTTTGTATATTAAAAATATATATTTTTTATGAATGGAAAAACAACTATTTCCATGTCAGTAGATCCCTGCTCTCCAGCAAAATTGAGTTTTCGACGAAACAACTGATAATCAATGCAGCTTTGCATCAAAACGAAATAATCATCAACATATCATCAAGCTTACGAGAATCCAGGATCGGATTCTTCTGACAGAGTTTGCTCTCAAGTCCTATAACCATAGAATGTTTAGTTACACGCCTTGGCCTGTGGGGAAAAAAAGGGATGGGGTGCATTTTGTATAATCAAGCAGACTTTTTGAACAGGCTAGACCGCAAACAGGGACCCGAGCTGACGGCACAGTGCACTTGTCAAATAAACATGGGATCTTTAGCTTCTTTGCAAGGGAGGTTTCCATTTTGTAAAATCAAACAGCCTACTTAAACAGGCCTTATCACGAACAGGGACCCGAGCTGACGGCATAGTGCACTTGCCCCATAACCGGTGATACAGTTGTTTGAACTTCGTTCCTCAAAAATGAACTTTTAAAAAAGTGTGTGAGGTTGGGGGTGGGGTGGGGGGGGTCAAGCTATATGCTAATACGATATTTATGGCACAGCCAAGCACTTGAATCTTTTCGCCAATGTTAATGGTGCCATTGTGTGCGCATCTCGGCGCAGACTTTTATATGAATTAGCATTAGATAAACAAAACCAATCCATTTCTAAAAGGGTTCAACCATTATACAACAGTTCTATTTTGCTAAAGAAATTGATCCCAGTATGAGACGATGTCAACAGAACAGAACTAAAAACTGCTTTATTTACTGTAAACAATATATATTGGTTTTGCGATCAGGGCGAATCCTTTCCCTCAAAGTTAGGACTGAAAGGTATGGGAATACTACATAACTTACCATCATGCTTCGCCGTCTCTTAGAATCAAATCTGCTCAGCTTAAATAAATGAATCACATTATTTTTCCCAGATGTTTTTTCAATGATAAATGAAGTCTTTGTGTCAATATTTTAGGGCTGAGAGCGTCTTCCAAAAAAAACAACAAATCATGCGTACATATAACTTAATGCACAAAGCTGTCAACGATCGGACAAAGGGGATAGAACAATGCAACCATTCTGTAACACTATGAAAAAACCAAGACAAAGAAAAGGGTATCTGTTGTTTGAACTAAACCAAAGTCTATTTGTGTTCAACCCCCACGGGGCGATCCAATGAAAACGCTATATAGCTGTATTGTATTCTTGAACGTGATATTATTGATCGTTAACACGTACAAAACATAAAATGTAATGGGATTGCCTTTGCCTGCTAAAACGTGGATCGTATGACATGAACTGATTGTTGAAAGGACTTATGGTTTATCTGTCTCAAATCTTACGTGTCATTCGACGTGTATTTACGATGAATAAATACCAATCGAGTCTATAGAAATACGTGGGAAATAATGTCTTTCAAAACGCTTGCAGGTAAGCTTAAAACACCATTTTTCAAATATATTTTTTAAATATTTATTTTAGAAATACTTTTTTGCCTGTGAAAAAAAAAGATTGAGTAAAGGAGAGAAAAAAATGACGTGTCAATGTTTACAGCAATGACGTCATACAAGTTGTTTTACTTTATTCATTTTCAGCATACGTTTTAAAGAGGACCGTAGACTTCAAGAAAAGCCAAATAATATTAAGAGGTATACGCCATCTTTTTGTCATATTTCTGAAATTATATTATTTGTCAGGTAAATGTACATTTGAATTAAAATGTTTGATTACGAAAACAGTTTGTTAATTCAACACCTCTGCGGTTCTCATTTATTATTTTAAAACGATTTTTTTATATTGCCCAGGTGTTCTAATACTATACTCGTGGATGGGGGCCATAGGAGGAACTTTCGAATCGATTAAGTTTGAAAAAATTACACCTCAGCACTGCGGGCCTCAACGTTTGAACTCTGGCTGGGTGGACAAGTCAAGGTCATCGTGCGCTGCCAGATGTTTGGCCAGGTAATTGGAGAAACGAATACTTTTTTTTTTTAAACAGGGATCCGCAATAAATAACCAGCGGGCCTGATCCAGCCCGCCTGATCCAGCCCGCCAGGTGTACTTAAACCATTCCGAAAAGCTGACATACTATGGTGGCGAAGTTGTGAACCTATACGATGGTGGTAAATTTGTTAACTGGTACTATGGTGGTAAAGTTGTGAACTGGTACTATGGTGGTAAAGTTGTTAACTGGTACTATGGTGGTAAAGTTGTTAACTGGTACAAGGGTGGTAAAGTTGTTAACTGGTACTATGGTGGTAAAGTTGCTGACTAGTACTGTGGTACTAAGGTTGTTTAACAGTAATGTGGCACTAATGTTCATAACGGGCACTATGGTAATAAAGTTGCTGATATATTCACAATGAGACTACACATTTTTCACCCCCCCCCTTTTCCTACAACTTTGATTCGAATTTGTTAAAGAAGGCATTTTTACGATTGCCAGAGTATGCTTCTTTACCGAGTACAGTGAATGTTTTGTAGGGGCTGATGTTACTCCTCGCATTGAAGAAAGGAGAGGAAAATGTCCAGCATCACTAATAAAACCTAAAAAAAACGGCGCTCTATTTTTTTGTTGGCATTCGACGAAAGCGATGACGTGGGTGATTCTGAACGATTTCTCATTTTCATTCGTTGGATAAATGATTATTTCGCAGACATGGAGGAGAGTGTTACCCTGAGAGCCATCAAATGCACAGCTTGAGGGCATATCTAGGAGAAGTTAACCGAACTGTGAAGGGCTGTATGGGGCTAACATAGCCAGCGTGGCAAGTGATAGTGCTCCTCATATGTCTGGCTAAATGGGAGTGATTGGACGCATTAACCAACACCGCCATTGGCATCCATTAGCCGTACGGCGCCCCAACCATCTACACGTACTGTTTTGTAAATCACCGAAGACTGACTCTGTCGTGAAAATCGTCACATTTCTTTGTTTACTTTATAATAACTGCTCATGCGCAGACAGTTTCTGGCATTTCCGTATGAACTAATGTTTGCCTATGAAGAGATGCCGTACCACACGGTAGTCCATTTTCTGATGCGATAAAGAGTTAACAAAATTTTTATGACTCCCGTCCACAGGTTTTCTGGTTTGTATTCTTGCAAATATCCTATTTACAAAATTGAAATCGCTGCACCACAGAATTGTGACTCGCTGAAAAACAAATATTTCCACCATTTGGTAAAATGGTTCTTAATTGTAAAATAAATTAATTAGACAATATTTGTGTAAATTAAACAATATATGTTCAGCTTTAATGATGAGTTTACAAAATACAAATGGAAGCGTTTCGGCACAAAAAAAAAACAACATTTAAATATTTATAAATGAATATATATTTACATGTATTCTTTAAAGCTTTACCAAAGTCCAACACTCGTATAATTTTATTAATTGTAAATATTATATTGATTTTTCCTGTTTTTTTGTAAAACTTACAAATTTGATCAAGGCAGTGGTCTTATGCACTCCTTTATATTTTCCCCACCTATACTTCTCACCCCGACACAAACACGCTGCTCCTGAAAAAAAAAAAAAAAAGTTTCAAAACCCCTGATTTATGAATTCAATCGCCGTGCGCTTACAACATTTTTTGCTTTTTTTTACCCCCCCCCCCCCCTGTCCACTTTTGTCCCCTTTTTGCTGAACCCCCCCCCCCCTCCCCCTTTTGTGTGGACGTCTTTTATGGATGACCCCTTAGGTGATTTATTCCATTCTACTCACACTTGTCGATTGTCACGTGACATGTTATATGGAAGTAAATAAGCGGGTCTATTGTGTAGAAACGTTTTTGTAGTTAACACGAGGACAAAAGTTAAAAGTGTACAAAATTAAATAAAATCATGTTTAGTCTTTTTAGTGAATACTCATGCTATTTATATTTCAGATTTGGCACATGTCACGGGTTTATGTACAACGAGGTCACTAAACTGTGTACGCCATCCTCTGGTCTAAGTGCTGAACAGTCAACACCGTCAAAAGCGGAAGGGGATTTTTACTTTAGCGACAGCTGTCAATCATATCCTGATTTTCGGTCAGTTATTTGACAAATTATTCTCCGATAATCAAACTTTTTTATTTTTGCGTGTCTGTTCATATTCGCAGGTTTACTTTGAATGTGTTTTATAAACCTTATTTTTTTTTTTTTTTTTTTTTTTTTTTTTTTTTTTTTTTCATTTAAATTTTTTCCATTTTTTTTTTTATTTTTTATTTATTTTTTTTTTTTTTTTTTTTTTTTTTTTTTTTTTTTTTTTTTTTTTTTTTTTTTTTTTTTTTTTTTTTTTTTTTTTTTTTTTTTTTTTGGTGATCGACAATAAAACTTCGCCAAGCTTTGAATTCATTTATATTTAATGTTTTTTTTTAAAAAAATGAAAAATATTTTGGATTAATTCGTAAATTTCAGAACTTTGAAAAAAATTCTTTTGGATAAATAAATACTGGTGGGGTGGTAAGCCCGGGTGTCACTTTTTATCTAGAGTTAATGCATTATTCGACAACTGCAGACTTTGTATCGTGATTGGAAGAGCGGCAAAAATATGTGGCTCCCATGGCAGCACTAATACTAACTAAGCCACTATGCAGTGTCTCAATCGGCACCAAAGTTGGCGATCTCTTTGATGGGGAAGTGGGGAAGAAATCGAGGGCGTTGAAGAATCTTGAGCAGAGGAGTGAAAATTTTTGACTGTTTTAAAATCAAGAGGTGCATTTTGGAGTATTCTTGAATTTAATATATCTATAAGATTTTTTTTTATCGGAGGAAGGAATTTTCAATGTTCTGGGGAAGGCATTATGGCGCCCAGTGACATACATAAACTGAATTCACTCCGTTTGTTGCGTGCCCCAGGGTAATAATTTGGCAAAGCTAATAGGGAACCCCATTCTGAAAAAAATTGATCGGTGTGAGTGAAGGGGGTGCAGAAATTGAGGGCGCTGAAGACATTTGGGAAAATTCAAAATGTAGGAGGAAATTTTGGCGCATATTTAAATTCGGTGTTTCTTTCAGACCATTCTGAGGTGGCGTTTCAAAATTTCGGGTTAGAAACGCCAAAATCGGCCATAATAATGATCAGTACGATACTTATAATCGAAGAGCGTAAGCATCTGACACGATTAGCCTTAAATCTACGGATCATCCAATAGATCGTGCCAAGCGACATGTTTATAGGCTGCACTAAATGCAATCCGTTAAGGGCACCAGTTACTGCTGTTTTTTTATAAAACAATAATAAAAATGAACATTTAGTAAAGTTTAACGACAATATATTTTCCTTTTATTCTTATGGATATTTTTCTAGAGGGGGGGGGGACGCTGGTACCCAATACCACTTTAGAAATAAGCACTCCCAGGATTTAAGTAGTCAACACATCTGAGGAAACCTTCGCAAGAGGACGCCAGATCCCCATATATGCGTTGGCCAAACCGTAGGATCATGCAACGCCCCCGGGAATACACCCCATTTTTTTTTTGGTAAGGTCTAATTAAAAGGAGGCTACCACATTGGTGTTCCTGTGGCAGCCAGGGGGTTTACAAATTGGAAGAAACATCTGGGGGGGGGGGGGGGGTTCCGCTTTGGGGCAAACCGCCCCCCCCCCCAGCAAAAGGGAATTTCAGGGGGGCTCATGAGAGCTTCGGCTCGAGTTGCTAACGTCATTCCTCACGAACGATTTTCAGTGTATAAAAATTTCCGGGTAAATTATTTTTTAAAAACTCACTGAAATTTTCTCTTAAATATTCATTTTTTTTTTTTAGTTAGTTTCTTATATAAGCAGGAAGTTGCTTATTTTAAGCACATGTGATGATGTTCGGTAGCATGAAGAATCATTTTTAAAATTTTTTTAAAAGTGTTTTTAAATGCATTTTACTTTTCATTCTTGAAAATGTTTCCTCAAGGTAAGTTTCTTATAATGCTTTCAACTTTCACAAGTCAATAGACTTGATTCTGTATTGAGATGAGATGGAATTTCTATTGTAAATAAATATTTAATTTAATATAAATAATATTTAAATGTAAAACAGTTTCAGATAAAGAGTAAAGTTCCGGTTAATTTGATGGGCCGTTAACTAGTATTTCATTTACCTGTATTCTATAATCATACACAGTTTACTCTGTTTTTTTACAACGAATTTTAATCAAATAAAACGTCAATAAACACAATTAAAACGCCATCAGTTTTAAAAAATGAAATCATTCTAAAAATTGTAGTTGGACAGAGGGATTTTTATAAGCTATCCAATCAGGGGCGGAGTTAGGGGGTGTGGACCGCATCGGGTGAAAACCATCTCAAGGGTGACATCAAATTGAAAAATTGAATATTTCAAAAGCATGCACATCTCGGTCTAAAAATGTCTCATTAAAGATTAATCGATCACACGTTAATTTCCCACACATGTACCAATCAGAAAAGCTTGCTTTATTAAAAGTTCAAGGTAGATGTGTCTGAAATAAGGTGACGCTATAATTAGGTCAGAAAGCACATTTTTAAACATACTTCAACGCCGATTGAAGTGTTTGGTAACTTTCGTAAGTGACAGGAAGCTATATTTATAGAAATTTTGAGAAACAAAGCTTTCCATTGATACCAACTTCGATGTGGTCGGGCGATGCTAAATAAATGAATCGAATCGGTAACAATTAAAAACATTTTAAATTTTTTTTTAACCCATTTATAGGGTTAACAAAATAATATTCTACAAAATTTTATGATATCTTTTAATAATTTATAAATTTTTTAAAAAGTTTTTTAAAATCAAAAATTAATATTTTAGCCATTAGTACCGCCCCTTAACATTTGAGCATGATTGTCAAAGAGCACAGGGTCTTTTACTTGCTGTCTGTGATTTCACGTTTCTCTGCTACCTTTAACTATTGGCTGATCTACTTGAAGAAGTTAATCATACACAGTAGTATCTGCAAACAAAAGGATTTACTCTCGACAAAATGGTAAACAACCTAAAGGCCTTAAGATTGTTTCTGCACGAGAAACTCTGTCACTTGGTGGAACATGCTATTGAAAAGGCACTTTTAAAATCAGACCAATATTGAATTTTGGTAGCGAGAAGATTAAGGTTTAAGAAGAGAATGGCAGGAGAAAATATTAATAGATGCCGGACTCACTCACTCACTCACTCACTCACACTCTCTCTCTCTCTCTCTCTCTCTCTCTCTCTCTCTCTCTCTCTCTCTCTCTCTGCGAGAAGAAAACATTAGGGAGATGCTGGAGTGTATTGATTGCTTTCATTGTGAACCCCAGATCAGTTATTGAAAAGGCACTTTTAAAATCACACCAATATTGAATTTTGGTAGCGAGAAGATTAAGGTATAAGAAGAGAATGGCAGGAGAAAATATTAATAGATGCCGGACTCACTCACTCACTCACTCACTCACACTCTCTCTCTCTCTCTCTCTCTCTCTCTCTCTCTCTCTCTCTCTCTCTCTCTCTCTGCGAGAAGAAAACATTAGGGAGATGCTGGAGTGTATTGATTGCTTTCATTGTGAACCCCAGATCAGATTATCAGTGATAAAGGAAGTAGCAGATATGTTTGGGGCTATTCAACCCAAGGGCCTAGTATCAGCAAGTGAAGAAGAGTTATTGGTGTCCGTTCCAAAATTAACCTCTTTTTATGACTAGTTATCAGAAGCTCAATTTTTTTTTTAATTCACCAAGGCTTAAAAGACACCTAAAGGCAACTGATATTGAATTTAACAACTTCATGGACTGGTCAGTGTTTGATGTTTTGAAATTCATAGCTGAATGGGACATCCTAGAATCTCTTCCAATACTCTAGCTAGGCCTTCAAATGTTTCTTACGATCTGTGTTTGTCAGTTGCTGAATGTGAGCGGAAAATTTAAAACTAAGTCTTACCAAGAACTACTTACTTGAGATAGTCAAGGCTTTCTGATTTGGCTCTCCAATCAATTGAAAGTGATACAGTGAAAGTCATTGATTTCTGATCTGGCTCTCCAATCAATTGAAAGTGATACAGTGAAAGTCATTGATTTCTGATCTGGCTCTCCAATCAATTGAAAGTGATACAGTGAAAGTCATTGATTTCTGATCTGGCTCTCCAATCAATTAAAAGTGATACAGTGAAAGTCATTGAGTTCTGATCTGGCTCTCCAATCAATTAAAAGTGATACAGTGAAAGTCATTGATTTCTGATCTGGCTCTCCAATCAATTGAAAGTGATACAGTGAAAGTCATTGATTTCTGATCTGGCTCTCCAATCAATCGAAAGTGATACATTGAAAGTCATTGATTTCTGATTTGGCTCTCCAATCAATTGAAAGTGATACAGTGAACGTCATTGATTTCTGATCTGGCTCTCCAATCAATTAAAAGTGATACAGTGAAAGTCATTGATTTTGATCAAATGCTTGACAGGTTTGCAGCCTTGAAGACACGTCAAGGAAAATGTTTGATAAAGTAAATTTCATGAAAAAATAACTATAACTTAACGTTGTTACAGTTCTTAAATACTTAACACTCCTGACCCTCAATTAGTCTATTTTTGCTCTTGTCATTGCCGTACTCTGGAATTATTTAACACGAAGAAATCCATCGTGGAAGTCGGGTGACGGGGATACACCATGAGGTTACCGCACCGGTCGACACCAACCCTAGTTACGCCAATGTATCCAATCATCATTCAGTGTGGGTAAAAAGGACATTTTAGTATGTTGACCTTCATTCCACAAGCTACATCTTCAAGTGAACTTAATACAGAACATTGATACTTTTAAAGATTCCGTTGTCATTTAAACAACGTATTTATTTATTTTTATAATGAGCCCATATTCACTATCTCATCTGATTAGGAATTGGCAATTATGTTTTCTCAGGGGAAAATATAGCTTCTAAATGTGTATCTCATTATTTTTTTTACCGTGGTTGTTGTTTCATTTCCAGCACCAAGTACAACCAATCCACCCAAGCCCACGTCGCTTACTACTCCAGCCCTCCAGTCAACTACACCAACGCGAAGGCGGCCTGCGAGTGCATGAACTCCCATCTTTATGTAGCGAACACCTTGGAGAAATGGTGGCTCATCAATGCCATAGTGAACATCGACCATCATGTCTTTATTGGTCTGGATGACATGGCTCAAGAGAATAAATTTGTCTGGGCAGACAGCCATCAGGAGATTTCTAGCGCGTTGAAGATTGCGATGTTTTATCTAGGTCAACCAGATGATTCGGGGGGCCAGGACTGTGTATGGAAAAAACCTCACAACGTTCTGTTAGATGACGTAAAATGTTCAGAACCCGCGGGCTACATCTGTGAGAAAACTCTTTGTTGAATTTCTTTTTTTTACAATGAAATAAAAAAGTTTAAAAGTTTGTCATAAATCTGCACGTATCAGTAGAATTGATTTATGTTAATATATGTCTTGCTTCCAAAACAAGGTATTCAATGCTGCAAGGTATTCTATGCTGCAAGGTATTCTATGCTGCAGGGTATTCTATGCTGCAGGGTATCTCTGCTGCAACGTACTCTATGCTGTAAGGTATTCAATGCTATAGGAATTCTATGCTGCAAGGTATTCTATGCTGCAAGGTATTCTATGCTGCAAGGTATTCAATGCTGCAAGGTATTCTATGCTGCAGAGTATTCTATGCTGCAGGGTATCTCTGCTGCAACGTACTCTGTGCCATAAGGTATTCAATGCTATAGGAATTCTATGCTGCTAGGTATTCTATGCTGCAGGGTATTCTGTGCTGCAAGGTATTCAATGCTGCAAGGTATTCTATGCTGCAAGGTATTCTATGCTGCAGAGTATTCTATGCTGCAGGGTATCTCTGCTGCAACGTACTTTATGCCATAAGGTATTCAATGCTATAGGAATTATATGCTGCAAGGAATTCTATGCTGCAAGGAATTCTATGCTGCAGGGTATTCTTTGCTGCACAAAAACAAAAATGTTATGGAAATGTTGTTATTTTAAAAAGTTACATATTCGATTTTCACCAGTAGTCTTTAAACGTATTACATCCATTAATTTTAAAGTAATACTTTCATATTTTGCACTGATGTAAATGTAATAGAAACAAAATTACAGTTTTAAAAAAAATGTTATTATATGTGTTCGTTGCTTTCAAAAGCATGGATGTCTTCTAGAACTACAATCCTGCTTTTCAATGATTCATTTAAAAACAACAACGTAGAAATAATTTGATTGATAAAAGCTTGATATGAGGCACGGAGGGAAGTGATGCAATATCAAAACCACTAGCACCCACGCACGTACGCACACACACCCACGCACACACCCACACACGAACACACCCACGCACGCACGCACACACCCACCCACGCACGCACGCACACACCCACGCACACACCCACACATCCACACACCCACGCACGCACACACCCACACCCACGCACGCCCACGCACGCACGCACACAGCCACACACGCACGCACGCACACACCCACACACGCACGCACGCAGACACACTCTTTCACTTTTAGTAGTGTTCGAACAGGGCGGTCGACATACGATTCCAATCCAAATTGACGGAAAGGCTTGGAGCTCAAATGAATTGTTCGAAATAGAAAAGTAAAACAAGCCAATAATTCTGCCTCACTTTTCACGGCATAGTCTCTGTAAATTACTGATTTTTTTTAACCTCTTAAAATGTACACAACTGTAGATGTAATGCACAAGTGTACACAAACTCATTAGATATAATGCACACAACAGCTGTAACTGTAAATTATATTACCTTACAATAATATTTCGGATAATTTTTTTCTTGGTTTAATTTATCTTCAACATGCAAATCTGGAACACAAAATGTTTTCTCAAACAATTCGTTCACAATGTAAACTTAAATGATGATGTCATACAAAGATATGTGCAATATATTTTAGGAGAAGTGGCAAAATTTTCCCGGTTACCGTTGTATGAATGGATAAATCGTGGACATTAGTCGATAAGGTGAAATGAATATAGGATAAGCAAATGTATTAGAATTTCGGTTTGAGATCATTTCATTATGTTCTAGATTAGGGATGTCCAACCCGCGGGCTGTATGCGGTCCAAGACGACCATGACCACGGCCCAACAGATAATCGTACACTTAAAACTTTATATGATTGTGACCCCACAAAAAATTGACATTAACAATGCTACGAATTGGAAAAAAAAGTATTTCATCTGAACCAAGTGTTTTTGGGGGTTCTTTTTAACAACCCCCAACAGATTAAATTCTCTCAGCTAATTATGTAGTTGCAAAACTGATCGGGAAAAAAACAACAAAAGCAGCACCACCAGATTCCATTCTAACAGCTAAGTAAAAAAAAAAAAGGATCTCAGATGTTAATTAAGCAAAGTATTGAAATAAAAAGGGTGGCACGGAAAAATTAATAA